CCAGGCAGCCTCCCCTGCTTGCCCCGTACACCACTCAGAAATGCGGCTGCTGGGTCCCATTTCTGTTTCAAAACTGAAGGGGAGGAGGGAAAGCTTCAGGAGCCAATCCCATTGGCCGGTTTCTGGCCAATGGGAGCCGTCTGTTTGAATAACCGGGTGCCAGGAAGAACCACCTCCTCTCTCCTGGGCTCAGCTATTCACACAAGCACGTGGCCAGGCAGGCTGACTGGCTGGGAAATGTTTTAAGCTCTGCAAGCCTTAGCTCTGCAGGCAAGCAGGCTGGTTTGGCTGCTGGCTGGTAAGTCTTCTGGCCAGAGCCTGCCTCTGGCACCCCAGCCCCTCTCTTCCCCAACCCCCTCCCCCCATAATCAACAAACCCAAATCCTCTGCCTTCCTTCTGCACCCCTACCCCCTCCCAGAGCTGACACCCCAATCCCCTCCTACTCTGGGTCACATCCCAGCCCCCTGCATTCCAGTCCCTTGCGTCCTTCACCCAAACTCCCTCCCAGACTCCATTCTCCCTCCTGCACCCCAGTCCCTCACCCCAAGCTCCCTTCTGCACCCAACCTCCACCCCAGACCCCACATCTCCATTTATATCATAGAAGGGTGCAGCCCTCAACTACTTTCCAAAATCTCGGAGTGGCCCCCTGTCAAAAATGATTGCCCCCCTCTGTGCCAGGGGCATAGCGCTCCCCTGCCTGACACCGCATACGTCACTCACACCCGTTCTGCCCAGGTAACGCAGCATCCCCGCTTGGCACAGGTGTGACGCACGCCCCTGTTAAGGCAACGAGATCACAGATGTGGGCAATTGGGACGGACGCAGGTGGAGAGAGGCACCTATCGACGAAACACACCCAAATATTGGGCCAGTCCCTATAAATTGAGGCCATCTGGTCACTCGGTGGCCCTGCGTGGTGAGGGCCTTTGATGCTGATTTTGCCGGGTTGGCTGCGTGTTGTGCACCGGGGCCGTCGCCCCCAAGCGGCAGCGCTGTGCTCAGACACGAGTCCTGGCTTTGAGCTGCTAAGCGTCAGGCTCAGTCTGCAGCTGCTCAGGGAAACTGCCCCAGCTGAAGGCTGAGGGCACCCGGCAGGCCACAGCCAGGTGGCACCCTCCGATCTCGCCCTCGCGTCGGGAGCAGAGCGCTGCAGGGCTGCCGCGCAGGGGCCAGGCAGCCACCCTAGCAAAAGGCCTGCCTCGACTGCCGGAGAAACCTGGCTTCTCGGGCCAGCTGCTGAGCACGGGAATGGGCTGCTCCAGCCACTGACCCAATTTGTCCCCTCTCTCCGGCTCAGAAACACACGGACACGCTGCAGGCCCGAGCCCAGTCGGCTCTGTTCCAGCTGGTCTGTGAGCTGTACACGGTGAGTGGCCCCTGGGAATGCATCAGACTCTGGGTGGGCAGCCGTGCCCGATGCACTACGGTTGCAGCGCCCTGTTCCCCAGGCTCCGGGTAATGAGCTGCAGGAGCACCTGACTGGTGCTAGGTTTGGGGGTGCTGGGCTAGCTGTGGCCCAAAGAACAGGCAGCTGTAGCCCGCCCGCCTCCCCAGCTGGGTGCCAACTGGGGCTAAAGGCCAGGGGCTGCGGGGAGCCTCCCCAGCTGGAGGGGAAGGAAGGGGAGCCATGCAATGAGCAGGGGCGAGTCCTCTTTACACCCCTCCCTGTGTCTGGAGTGTCGCGGGGATCCCTGAATGCTCTCTCTCTGCAGGGTGAAAAGCCAGATGCCTGCAAAGACAAGGCGATTCTTCAGAAGACCGAAAATCTCTGCCTGAATTAACCCCCAGCCTAGGGCCCCTGCCTGCACCCCAGCACGTGGCCTTGCAGTCGGGGCGCCCTGACAGCCAGAGGCAGCAGGGGATCTATTTTGGCTAGGTCTGAGGCTGGCTGCGGGCTCATGCCCAATACATTCTGCTGCAGTGGAGCTGGGAGAAAAGGCACGAGACGGTTTGAATTTGGACACGAGAATTGGAAGCCTCTCTTCTGGCCAGATGGCAACAGCAGGGCCTGCGGAGGGGGGAAGCAGGTTAAAAGAGCAAGTGCTGCTGGAGAGAGGCATTTGGTCACCCGGAGGCAGCCTGGCCAGCAGGGGCTGGGAAGGGCTTCCGGCTGCCTAGGCCTGGAACCCCTGATCTTCTTGGCCCTTCTCTCCGCTGGCTGCCCTCTCTGGCCTCTCCAGCTCTCTGTACAGGTTCAGTAAGGGAGGGTACCTTCTGTCTCGCTCCCCCTGGGCTGGAACCTGCAGACGTTCCAACCCTACAGCTCTGGGAGGTGGTTCCCCAGCAGTTTCCTTAGGTTGTGCCGCTCGCAGGGCGCTGTGCCTGTGGCAGGGAACGAGGCTGATTGGCCGACTGATGCTTGACCCTTTGCCTCTACTGATGCCTTATGTGAACTAGCTCCTCTGGCCCCTCTAACCACCAACAGCGCCAGGTCCTCAAACATCCTGCCCCCCTCCAGGAAATGTCCCTGGGTCACTAGGCTCCATGCTCCTGCACAAACAGACCGATGCCTTCCCCTCCCCAGGCTGTCGCTTGCTCCCTTCTCGCTGCTGTACTGGTGTTGGTGTCCCAAATACAGATCCCTGGGGCTCGGGTTAAGAATGTCCTTCTTGCCAATGAATGTCATTGAGTCACTTCCTGGCCGCCTCCTCTCTCATTGAGGGCCTCTCTTGAATCTGGCCCTGAGCCCGGGTCTGGGGTGGAGATGTTGGTTACTATGCTCTGAAGAAATGTAACAAAGGGTTTCCCTTTGGCTGCAGCTGCTCTCACGTCACCCTCGGCAGGGGCGGCACTTCGCTCACAGGTATTGCAATATGGGCATTTGCTTTCAGTCAACGAGGGGCTCTGGGAAGCCAAGGGCCTTCTAATCTTTTCCGTCCATGTGCAATTTTTTCCCACTTGTGTGGAATAATTTTTTATATGCACCAACACATGTGTGAGTGTGCACCACCAGTAGAAACAAAGCCTAGTGGTGGGTGCTCTGCTCTGCAGCTAGCCAACATCTGAATCTCTCCTGAGCAGCCTCTCAAGTG